ACATTTTGCACGCAAAATCATATTCTTTTCAAAATCTCAACCTCGGGTTCCTGATTCGTGAAATAGTCTTAAAATTTTTCAAATTTCAGCGTCGATGTTATTAAAAAACTATTCTTGTACAAAAAAGAGTGGAAACTTTTAATTTTTTACTTGATGGAAAAGTAATCAAAATTAATCAAATTAGTGTTTTGGCCAAGTTTCAGAATGAACTCTTGAACAGAGGTGAACTAACCGTCGATTGAGGAACATAAATAACGAAAAAAACAAACGAAATGGCTGAATAATTTATTTACGCTTGAGGCCCCACACAGGCAAGCTCGAATAACTAGCTGAAGATTTTTTTAAAAAACAGTGACTTGAAAAAGCATCCTGAATGTTTCGTTGGAAAACAGAAGCCGGCAATGCATCATTCAATTTTTCGTTTCGCAGCTTCTCAAAAGTTTTAATCTTATGGCCACAGATAACCCTTTCGAGTAGAGACTTGCGTCTCTTGACTTTGAATGTAACTAGGAAGCGAGTCGAGTCAGCCATAACCACGGTTACCGTAGTGTCCTCGCCATCTGTCCAAATTTGGGCAGGTTTTTGGTCATGTGGGCACTTCTGACTTGTGATACGTACAATAGTTTGTCAATTACACAATGGATCTTACAAGATGGTGGTAAGACGGGGCTTTACCATACGGGCGGGGACCATTTGAAATGGAGTGGGGATTTTGTGACCGGCTTGGCAGAATGTGGCAGTGACTTGCAGGTGCTGTGCAAATGTCAACAAATTAGGTTTTTTGTGATAATAAAAAGAAAAATTAAAAAGAAAAAAATTAAGACCCTGTCGTCACGGGTTCAGTGTTAACTAAAGCAATTTTGCGCCTTTCTAACAGTAATCCGAGTGTGAAAAATTTTTGCGAGAAATTGGCATTCTTTTGACGTGGGTACCAATCAACCCGTAATCCATTCATGTTGTCAATCATTGAGGGTCTTTCCAAAGTTATTCAAGTGGAAATTTTCATCTGAGAGTTTTTTTTTAACCCAAAAATAAGGCTAGAGATCTCTGCCTCAAGGTTTTGTTTACGATATCGTACATCTTAAGCAAAGTTGGCATGCGCCTTAAACGGATGTTTACCTTCTCTATTGTCATATTTACAGGTAAGGCGGTAAAATTTACATGTGATTTATTCGCAGATCAATTGTTCTTTTGTTCAGTTTGTTCGCGATCGTACATGTTTATGGTAACAAAACAAAGGTATATCCGAGCTGTTTTTATTTTMGAACTGTTTTGCTCCATCGAATTAATTTTATTGAAAATGAGGCCTTGTTAATTATTATTTAAATACCTCACTATTATTTTCTGACTACAGCCCTCTATCCCTTCCAATTTGCGTTCAAAAATATCCCGTTCATTGACCAAAATGCCATGTAACCTTGATCCTACATACCCTGTATTCCTATTTTTGTCTTTTATGAGTATTCCATATTTCAACACCCCCTACAGAGAGTCTCATAAGCATGTTGTTTTGTCTGAAAGATACTGAAAAGAGGCTGTAGAAATTCAAGTTATAATTACGTCTCAACGGTACACACTGTGTTAAAGCGCATCAAATGTTTTCTGTGCACACTATGTCGGA